TTTAAGACCCCAGACGCTATCTCTTTTGATAGCCGGGCACCATGAGCTTTCTTCACCACATTTTCTTATTCACCCGCTTGTGCACATCTTTAAATGAGCCAAAATTAAGACAAAGGCTGCATGAAGCAGAATCATTTTATTCTACTTGGGCCATATAAAAGCCAATTATCCCAGAAGAAAAATATATATGATAATCCATCATTTTTCCTATTGATTTATGACACCTCAGCTTTCAAAGAGCAAGTTTTGTTCAGCTCATAAGTCTATCTTTGGATTCCATTCTGAAGTGATATATGTCTACAACAGCTTATAAGTATGCCTTATTACTGGCCAAGAAAGCGTCCTCTTTATATTACCCATTTTCATCTATTATCCATAATATGTAACAAGAAAATTTGTTCTCAGCAAAAATTTGTTAGGTATTTAATTGGAAAAGCATTGAATTTGTAAAAGTATAGAAAAAGCTAAATATTTGTGATACTAAACATGGCACTTCTCTCCATAGTGTCTCTCCATCTATGCCTCGCATGTCTTTGTTAGACTTACTTATTACTAGATTTATTTCTCTATAGACTGGCCTATCCTGGATTTCATATATAAAACCATACAAAACACAAACAGAAAGCAAAGAACAAAACAAAAGTGTGGTAGTTGCATAATCTGTCAGCTTGAATGAAAGGGTGGAGTCTAGCCTGTCAATCAGGTCATAGCCCACACCCTCTGTGTGGGCATGTTTTTTTCCTGAGGATTCTGGGAACTTCTGTCGTCCTCCTTGGAAGCAGGACATACATTCTTTCTGCTTGGCATTCCTGTTGACAAGCCACATGGAGCTACAATGATGGAGCCAGAGCCCTGGAGCTGGTGGAGCCACATGGAAATACATGTCAGCGCTGAGATGCTTCCACCCTGATTTTCCACCCACTGGCCTGTGATCTTCCTGCATTCAGTGTCAGTGCATGTGTTGCGTGATTCTGAAGAGGAATTTATAGACTGGTATGGGACATATGGGCTAGTATCAGACTTATGGACTTGATCTGGACTGGGCTGGGCTGTTTTCTTAATATAGAACTATAAATTTGTTTCTCTAGTCAACCTGAACTAACATAACTACAAATAAACCAACAATGATTACAAAAGAAATGGAAAAGCAGAAAATTTTAGAAATGGAAACCAACTTTAAAATGAGTCAAAAGGG